TGGACATTTAATTTACAACTTAAGTACTTAAGTATATTCACAAAATAGGGGTCAGTTCTCACGAAATTTGCATTTTTGCTCCTGTAGAAAATGTGTGAAATAGGCAAGATGGAATCACTGCAGGTCATATTTATCTCGTCCTCATATCAAGCATTTAAATAACACATTTTCTATTTGTGGGCTTGAGCAAAAAATTTTGAACCCCAGCAGCGCTTTCGAGAACTCATCTTAGAATTTCAATAGCTTTTTGAAGATAAAAAAAAATCGCTAACGTCTTAGGCTTCGACAAATGTTTTTGGTCGCTTCGTTGAAAGAATCTTCAAACAAAACTTGAAGCCAGAAACGACTTTTTAGCTTGATATGGGACTGAGTTTTCTAAGTGGAACCCTAGAACCCACTGGCCTCCTCGTCCCTGGTGTATACTTATATGCCCTTATCCTCCGAAAATGACTACGGGAGTAATGGTTTAATAGGATAATCAACTGCTAGTAGCAGCTCCGTTCAGTAAATATATTTCCAGTTAAAGATTAAAATAATTCAATTGGGAAGCTAATTCATGCCGTCATTTCCAAACTTTGAAGTTGGACGCAAAAGGGATGTAAGAAAACTCAATTTCACCTGTTTTAGGACGCAACAAGGACAGAAACCCGCTTGAAGTGAGCTTTCGATCCGGGGATGGGGGTAATGTTCGGGTAGTTATAATCTTTTTTATGACCTTCTTATATACGTATATACATTCAGGTTTTATGGAAGATTTTTAAAATGAAACTTCTTTAGGGGCGGTAGTGAATTAAATAATAGTAAGGGAAAAATTTTACACTTGGGTTGCAACGGAAGGGAGGGACACCTCTTTGTCTACATATGTACCTATATTGATATTGAGAGTGAATGATATTGATAGTTTCATCTTCTTCTTCAGAAGCTACCACATGACACAAAATATTAGTAATTTTAGTTTTCCCCAATGAAAAGTCTTGGAGTATATTGGATCCTGAAAATACTCTTTAACCATGTGGCTATCTTCTTCAGGGTGTCCAGATTGTTTAAAAAAAAGCGCAATTTCTGAAAAAAAATCGCCAAAAATCGCCAATTTTTTTTTTTAAATAAAATTCATGAAATCGATTTAACAAATCTTTTATTTTAAAAATGACATCTTGTTATAATATATATACAAACGAATATAATACCTTTAATAATAAATAACACAAATCTCTTATGTAATAGTGATGTAAAAACAAGTTTCTTTAAATATACGCATACTTTTTAAAAATATTTGTTTCAACACATTTTGCGATAGGACTGCGCAATTATTAAATTTATTATAACTCACATTAATTGATTAATCGCGCAATCCGCTTTTAAGAGCTCGGCGCTAAAAATTAAATAAAAACCTATAATAAGGCGAGATCAGCTATTTCTACAATTTTTTCAAAATCACCTATAGTGTATGAATCATTTACATTTCTGTTGTTGTCATATATTGAGCTATTCAACCTTGATAACATACTGTTTGATATTGGAAACGTTTTGCAGCAGAAACTATTAGCCTTCATATAACACTTTATTCGAACTACAGTGAAACCCGCTTAAGTACCTAACCCGCTTAAGTAACCAACATTTTTGGACACCGTGAATTTTTTAATATAATCAGAAGAAAATCCCTCTCTTAAGTACCTCCCCGCTTATTTACCCAACCCGCCTAAGTACCTCAAAAAGCTGACATTTTTCGTGAGGTACTTAAGCGGGTTTTACTGTATTGAATTAAGGCTTTCTAACCTCATCCAATTTCGAATCTTAGTTTTTGTTGAATTCATTAAGGAAAAAACGCGCTCAACAAAGCATGTGAGTGCGGCAAGGATAATAATATGAATTTACTTGTATTTCCAAACATTTTATTGCCTGTTGCGGTTTTCACTCCGTAAGCAATTTTCCGAAATTCTTCAGAGTCGGATGGAATGGTGCTGAGAAAAGTTATTTCATGGGAAAGTTAAAAGATTTAAATATTCAGTTTCCGCTACTTTTCTTTCCTTCAAAGTCAAATAGTGAATTGGCAGGTCCCTCGCCCTCTTGTGATTCACACACTTTTCTGGTGACAAAATCAAAGCTTTTTTAAAAGTATTCAATTAACTAGGTAATCGTTTCAAAAGTTCTTCGATTAGCGTGATTAAACATTTTTGACAGTCTTTTAATATGCTTCTTAAGTCAAGTTTATCACGCAGTTCATTAGCCTCTTCTGCAAAATTATCGTGAAAAACTAAGATTTGTATATTTTTATAATTGGAAAAAATTTATTTGAAGGGAAAAAATCGCCAATGGCGATTTCCTAAATTTTTACGCGCAAATATCCAAAAAAATAGCCAAATTGGCGCGAAATCGCCAAATCTGGACACTCTGATTTGCAGTGTTGCGGTATCACAATGATTCGCAACTCTGACTTGATGTCGTACATCAGTTAATCTAGCAACATTTTTTTGTTTAAGATCGCGAATTTTTGCAAGATGATATCGGAAATGTTGAATTTCCAAACAAATTGAAAATAATAATAACATTTATTAAATTATTGTATTTTAGAAAGAAATTTGTTGGGCTTACTTTCAACAATCTACCATGTAGAAAGGGTAAATTTCTGAGTTGTTTGCGCTTTCGATGCGGTTTCGATTAGTGTAACAATATACTGAGTTGCCGTACTGTAGCAGTAATAGTTTACGAATATAATGCATTATTCTTTTGCAAAGCAACAGACAACAAAGACCTGTATTTCTAACGTTACTTTGTACTCGGCAAATACGCAGCAAATAATTTGTAAAAGCAGAAATTGACCTAAAACTATGTTCACATATCAATATTATCTCAATCAAAGCTCGTTTTTTAATCACCCCGTTTACACAGGCAAATCTCAGATTATTAGCCGTCAAATTTGTTGTGCTCGTTATTCTCACATCTCAAGGAAAAGTTATGTTTCTTCACTGTGCCACCGTGATCACGTTTTTCTGCTATAATAAGCAACATAAATATATTTTAACTTAACATTTTATTAAAAATACCTTTACAAACCTCTTTTACTTGCTAGCGTACATTTTTGTTTACTTTTACATTTGGCATTTCTCCTCTCTTTCGCAAAAACAATCGATAAAACTAGGATGGACACCGAAAAGTTATCGGTTAAATCTGAGATTATTTTATAATTACAGATTAACAAGGGACGAATTTTATATGGCTAATCTCTCGTTATAATTACAGATTAGGGTGTTAAGCTCGAAAATGAGGATAATCTACTTATATGTGAACCTAGTATAAGCCACATATAGTAGACAGTTTCAAAACTGCCTCTGTTTGTTCCACATTCAAGACACAATACCTTTTATATATTTTTTTTTTTATTAAAAACTCGTTTTGGTTTAATTTTGAGATTGAGAGAAGGTTATGATTAGGAGCATTTAGATAAAGATTAAAATTTAGACTAACGCTGAGATTGAGATTTAGAACTCTATAGTATGAAAGAAATGCATCGAGATATGTCACTGGCGTGGTGTGGCTTAAGCACTCATTTCTTTTATAATCGTTTATTTGTTGAGGCAATATTTTTATTTGCAGAAAGGGAAATGTACCTGCAAACCATTTTTTCGGAGTATTCTGAGTTGTAGAGAAATTTTAAAGAATTCGTAAAGATCTCATCCGATTTTTTGCCGAATTTTCTAAAATGAAATAAACTGTGCACGCTTCGATTCTTTTACGAAATTTCGGAAGAAAATCGGTAAAACAAAGAAAATAATTCTGCTATGTGAAGAATTTCTTGCAGATTTTTTTCAGAATTTTCTTTATTTTTCGTACAGAAATTTCTTTACGAGTTCGTGTCAACCACTTCATATAATTTTCTTTGAAGATTCGTAAAAAAAATTGTTAAAGATATGAGATACTCCTAAAAATTTCGTTAAGATTTTAGGAACTTTGATTTGCAGGTGTGATATGAAGAACATTATGTGTATGTAAATTTATTTATAGTATCCATGATATTTATTTATATTTCTTTTTTAATAAGTTCTTAGATTATTTTGTAAATAGATTTTTTTCTGTAAATTGTTGTTTGAATTAGTTATACTGTGGAAAGTTGCCATTTAGTGAAAAATTTTTCTAACTAATACATACAGCTCGGTGGATTCAGTGCTGTTGCGAAGGTTAGATAAAAGGACTTCTGCTTCATATCACAGTTATCTTTTGTTGCATCTCTTCGTTGACGTTGCCCCGCTTCCTAACCCTACTTGCTATTATATGTTTTGTGAAAGAATTTTGCGCAGTTGTTTTTATTAATAATTTTAGTTTTTGTGAAGTTTTCACAAATTTTTCTGGGCTTTAAAAGTCACCTTTTAGATGTCGCATGTTGCACGCGTAGTTGAGAGTTTTTTTTACTTTTTGTCTTTTACCAAGTATATCGTAAGACATTTTGTTCTATTAATCATTTATTCGTAATATTTCAGTATTTTGAAATGTTTATAGCATACGGATGTATGTATACTTATGTCGCACGTTTAATAATATAGAGATTTAAATCAAAATTTACGTTTTCGAAGATTTCATTATGCAATTAATAAGCTTGATGAGTAGAATATGTTCAGCCTAACAGATAACCAAACTTCCGAAATATGTGTCTTTCCATCTGTCTTTTTGTATACCAACTGTATGAATTGACAAAACTTTGATTGCATTTTCCCACAAAATTAAAATTTTGAAATACTTCGTTATATTATTAAACGCGCGATATATCGATTTATACCTTTTTATTTATTTATTCACAAAACTACACATACACTGCGAAGCGAATTTTACACTACAATCGACTGTAAAGTTTGAAAATCGCACAATGCAGATTAGTATTGTGTGTAGAAATCGCTTAATGATTGCGCATATTAGCAGTTCCATGTGTATTACAATATTTTCCAATTATTAATAAATTTTACTATTTTCTGTGTGCTTCTTCTTCCTCCACGAAATTAAATACATAGGCGCAAAAAGAAATGTATTCGTTACATGGAAGCGATAAGCAGCGGCAGTGCCGGCAGTAGCAGCACTAAGGACGATTGTTATCAAGAATTGGATGACCTAGACGACCCTGAAAGCGATGATAATTTGGGCAGTCCAGGCAGCGGTGATGACAACAATAAAACCCCGGATGATGACACAGAGTCGCTGAATCATTCGTTATCTAGTCCAGGCTGCCTTAGCGGTTTGTCAAGTCTCCAGAGTCCGTCCACTAGCTTGGCGAGTCCATTGAATCTGCTCGCCAGTCCAGCAGCACCGGTTACAGTGGGCCTGACATTCGGTCTCGGCGACCACCAGTATCAGCAGCAGAATGCGCAATCCCATCAACAATTGCCGCAGCATGCGTCGTCACTACAAGCGCAGCAGCAGTTGGTGCAGCCGAGCAGCATTGTTGATACGTCGGCGGCACAGCAGGCGCGATTGTCTTGCCCACCGCAGCAACTGCATCTGAAACAGCATCCGCAGCAACATCACCCGCTTGCGCATACGGAACAGGCGCTCGCTAACAGCAGTGTTTTTGAACACTCGAAGGCAACAAAATCGTTCTTCTGTGGTGGCGGCATGGAAGGCGTATGCGGCGGAGTTGACGATACATTAATGTCGCCAGCTCTGTCAAATAATGGCGCCAGTGGCATGGGTCTCGGTAATAATTTAACAAATACCTCATCCTCGACTGCTGCGGCTGCGGCGTCCGCCTTTACAGAACGCACAATGCGTACACTACTGAATCCTAGTCCGTCTACTTCGCTACTTCATAGCAATTGTTTTCCGCCAAGCAGCCTTGAATCGAAAGGCGGCGCGATCGTGTCCATTGCTCAAATGCTGTCTAATACCACCAGCAATGCAACGTCCAGCGTAAATGCCAGAACTTCTAGATCTACGTCAGTCAGCGTCGCTTCCAGCGACACTACAACTAACTACTCCACAACCGTTGAGACTGGAACGTCAAATGGTTGCAATTCCTACACCAGCAACTTAAGTACCACTGAGAACCCTAGCGAATTGGGCAGTAATGGTAATTACGAGAGCATTCAACTAGCGCCCGCTACTCAGTCGAATGCAAACAAATCCACTCCACTTATCGATGGCAAATCCTCATCCGCTTCATCAGCGGCTTCTTCGCCAGCTGCCGACAACTTGGAAAAGTCAAATGTTACACCAGCGCATAGAAATCCAATCGGCGCAAATCCACATGACATCAACAACCCACTAAGCATCAATCAGCTGACAAAATGTAGTGAAAGTATAAGCAATAGTAGCAGTCACAATAAGTCGCAAAGCATCAGCGTCAACGAGAACCTTAATGTGGCAGGCACAGAGTGCTCAACAACATTGTCCTCTAGCGTTAGCAATGGTACCACACAGACATATAAAGTCAGTAGCCATCAGAAGCAACTGGCCTCGCGCCTGCCAACATCTGCGACTCCGCATCAGCAGCTCTTGCCGCCAGCACCGCTACAATATCAGCAGCAATTTCATCTGTGCGGTTCGTCCGGTCCGCCACCCCCGCCACCGCCTATGCAACATCACACCACCCTCCACCATGCGCACCACCACCATCCCAAAGAGCATTCACCGCTCTTTAATCAGCACTTCCAGCAGTTTAGCCACCACCTGGCTTCCGTGGCGGCAGTAGCGGCGGCGGCAGCAGGCGTGCATATACCCAACATAATTGGCGCGGCGGCAGTTGCGAGCATCAATAACAGTATACACCGCAGCGGCGGCTTAAGTGCAACGAATGACTCAAACTTGCCGAGTGCGACCAACATCTGCGGACCACCAGCCAACGCTTTGACTGCAACGCTCTCCTCTATAACAACTACAACAGCAGCAGCAACTTCAACTACGTCGGCAGCGGAAGAAATTACTACAGGCTGCAATTCAGCAACCACAAACAGCAGCGTCTCCTTGACGCCGATTAACCGGCGCACAGGGACGGCGACAGCAGCAGACTCTAGTGTCGCTAATGTTGTTGTTAATACGAGTACTCCTGGTGGGGAAAAAGGCGCTATTAGCGTTACGTAACGGCAAGAACAACAATTAGTGCCGCAGTCAAGCGAGATCAAATGCGAAGTGCTAAATTCCATCGAAAGAGTCATCAACACCGGAAGCAACACAATTTCAGTAGCAACCTCAATGCTATGCATAGTAATTTTTGGTATTGTTTATTTTCTATAATTCCACATTTTTACTCATGAACGCACTGAAGCATCTCATGGCAGTTAGTAGAAAACAAACATGACGCTAAGTACACATTCCATCTTCAAAAGACTCAAGAGGACTAGAAAAGGGCTTTGATTTTCTTTCAATCAAAAGAAGAAGATAAACATATTGTCGATGCCTTTACAAAACCGCCCATCGACCAGTTGCAGAGCCGCCTAAATCCCAGTAAGGGCAAAAATTAAATTTGGTAACCCTGAACTGCGGGCATCGAGATTTATGCATAAAAATTTTAAAATCGTTATTAAAACAACCGATTTGTACAATAAAAGCTGAGAAAATACCGCCTATCAATTGCATGCCTTCAAAGAAAAACAGTTTTTTCTCTCTTCTTTAAAATTTGAGTGCCGTAAGATAGGCGGTTTTGCAAAAGCATCGACGATATGTACATATGTATGAAAACGCGCATGTTTTGCTGATATTGACGATGGCAACTTTTTATAGGTTCTTTTAGCATCAAAACCACTATGGTTAGATGCCGAGTACCGAGTGTGCATTCTATGAAAAAAGCGAGAAATTCCCTTAAGATAGTTTTCTATTCTCAGCGAGAAAATTTTATTACACTTAAATAGGTCCGTTTTCTCATGTAGGTTTGAAAATTTATCTGCACTTTAAACTAAAATGTTGCTCCGAAAAATGTGTTTGAAGGGAAGATAAATTTTAAAACCTACATGAGAAAACGGTACTTAGGGCCAGTTTTTCAGTGCCCGGCGCGGTTTAAACTAGGTTTAAACGCTCGATATGGCTGGTTTAAACTAAGATTAGCTAATCAAATGTCAGCCAGCTGTTCAATTTAAACTCAGTTTACTTAATCTCAGTTTAAACTGGCACTGAAAAACTGGCTCTTAGCCTTTATTTAGGATCTGAAAAAATAATCGTGAGGAATCCCGAAAGTGTCCTCCAAACTTTGAAATCGCGAACAAGTCTGACCTCCAGAGAAAACACAGTGACCAAAGTCAAAAACTTTATAGTAATGAGGAAATCATATTCTGCCACGTCGGAGTATTCTACCAGCATTTCCAAGGCGAATTAAAATTGGGTGACAGCAGGAGAACAAAAAAAAATTACATACCTCTTGTTTTTGCTTTTGCGGCGTGAAATATCAAAATCTGTAAGAGTGTGTGTGGAAATGGGAACCAAATATTTTAATTAGGGATGTCAGCGGTAAAAATACATTGATGTTTTTCTTTGATTCGATGCATCGAAGGGCATACATCGATGAATCGATTTGTATAGGGTTTTTTTCAGATAATGTTTTACGGCAAAATATGTTATTTGCAAAGCCGTAGAAAATTTTAAATAAATTACTGCAACTGGGCTAATTAATTTTAAGTCACTTCTCTTTTGTGTGCGATCGCTAAACTGAAATGACGGTTCTATATAACAGAGTTGTCAGTTTTCAAAAAAACATTGATGCATCGAAGCAAAACATCGATATTTTCGATGCATCGTTGTTTTCCAACATCCCTAATTTAAATTTGACTTTCCAAGCCGCGCGAAAATTAAAAAATTTCAAGTCGTCACCATATACGAAAAGGCCTTGATCATTTGATTTCAAAATTATAAAATGATACTACTTCATTATTCTCTAACTGCCATTTTTAATGAACTTACATGAAACTTTTTAAAAATAACTGTCGAAACTACCATCACAATAAGGGGTTTAAATTTTGTACGAAAAAAATTATTCGTTAAATTAAACTGTACTTCTCAAAAGATAGATTTATCTTTAAAGTACAGATGGGCTCGCACATAATTTCTTGGTCCCGACACGGGTGCAGAACATTCGAAAACACGCAGTGAAGCTCGGCACGGTCCTACACCACCCAAAAAAAAACTAGCATACCTTTTATTTTTTACGCATAGGTATTTTTTTAACTCACATATCTATTAGTAGAAGATGAGGAGTAATGAAAACCCAACGAAAGTAATGTTTTTGTAAAAATGTGGTTAGAAAAGGTTCGTGCATATGTGAAACTGAAAGAAAATATATTGTATGTATAGGCAAAATTCCATGTCAACCGAATCATGACTGCGCCAAAAAATATAAGAAACCAATCTGATTAAAAAACGAAAAAAGATGTTCGAAGGTGAAGGAATGTACTTTAAGGTAAAATTTGTGAAAATATTTGAAAAAATGTATTATTGATTATATAAGTTGTTGAAATTAGCCAAACAGTGCCATTTAACCACTTTCAGGTTTGGATATCTCAAAATTATGACGTTATAGAGCGATTCCCTTAGGAAAAGTATAGTCAGGTTTCTAGGTAAGGAAGTCACACTCATTTTCTTGGCTTGTGTTATTTTTCGCACTGATTTTGAAAAAAATCATTTTCTTTTGAAGAACTAACCAATTCGTATCGAAAAGAGGCGGTTTGAAATACAAGTGATGGCTGACAAAAACAGTGATAACAATTCCTTCAAAAGCATTTTTCAGAATAGAGCCTATGAGAATCCAGTAAAGTAAAAATTTACTGGTACTGTAGCGAAACTACAACGAAAACTTATTCACAAGCAATAAGTTTCTGAAATTCAGATAATAATATCTTCATACTCTAAAGCGAATTGTATCTTCAGAGTGCGGTGACATACGATTTTCTACGTTTAAGTATAGTAAGTGAACGCCTGTTACGTATTTCGCTAACAATTTTATCAGATAACAAGAACACTCGCTTTCTAGTTCTAGAACTCTACATACTGTGAGCATCATTTTCAATTTGGCCGTTGACGAAACTCTAAAACTGGCTAATTTAGTCGGAATTTTAATGCCGCCACACCCTAGGATTGTTATATACCGAAAAAATATACCCCTATTTTTTTTTGTTTTGAGGTAAAAAAAATTAGGGAGTGCTCAATTCGCTCAAAGTTTCCCCTGTATTTTATATCGGGAAAAAACAACTTTTCGTAGAAATGATGTAGAATTCTGGAAAATCAATATTTTTCAATCAGAGAGCCCCAATAATGGTACTCAATTATTTCTTTAACCATTTTTTCATGGTAACTATATTTTATAGGTCGGCCAAAACCCCTAGAAACTGCAATGGGGGACCAATAAAAAATCTTTAGTAGTTTAAAAAGGTTAAGTTAACTGTTGCGTATTAATACTGGAAGTCTGCTGAAGAGAACCAGAGTTTTTCGATCGAAAAATATTGATTTTCAAGAATTGTATATCATTTCTACGAAAAGTTTTTACCCCATATAAAATACATGGAAAACTTTGAGCGCCGACTTTACTGTTTTTTCACCACTCTACCTCTGTTCTTTTGTTTAGGTTTGACCACCGAGAATGGGTACTTCTATCAAAAACGAATTCTTTATATTGCAAATAGGTTAAAAAAAAATTATCATGATTTTCCCAAACAGTTTATAGGGTCTAGCCATTTCTCGTACTTGCCATCCGTCAATACAGAAATTCGCCGAAAATCAAGTCATTAATTCCTGGGTCATGAATTTGCGGCACAAGAGGTAGTATTCTGATGAATATTTTTTGGTGTAGATACGGTTACTCCCAAAATTGAGCGTACGGCTCTTTTTTGTTAATATTCGCAATGTTTTACATGCTAAAATTTTTTTCTTAATTTTGTTTCAAAATATGGCTTATGTTTTAGCAAATCTCATTTAAATCCAAGAATGATACTGTGTACAAAGATTAAGAAAGGTCTGCAAAGTTTCCGCAAAATCGCGAACTATTTAATACCCGAGAATTTTTTTGCTGGCTGTCCTACGCACTTTTTTTTTCATAATAAAAAAAAATTCTGAAAATTTTTTATATTAACAAAAATGCGTAGGACAGTCAGCAAAAAAATTCTCAAAACTAAACGCGATTTTTTAGAGATTTGAAATTTGCACATTATTATACTAAAATTTAATGGGCTAAAAAACTGCATACCTGAATTCTTTTTAGAAATTCGTATTAAAAAGTTCGCGATTTTGCTGAAACTTTGCAGAATTTTCTTAATTTTTGTACACAGTATTATTCTTGGATTTACATGGAGTTTGCTAAAATATAAACCATATTTTAATACAAAATTAACAAAAAATGTTTAGCATATAAAACATTACGAATATTAACAAAAAAGAGCCGTACGCTCCTTTTGGGAGTAACTTTATGTTCATGTATGTATGTTACCAGGTAATTGGCTGTGAAACAGAGATACAAAACGATTCAATTGCAGTTCAGTCAGTGTCCGAAATTTAAATTTGACTTGGTAGAGACTTACGCGTGCATACACACAAAAAAAAATGGTAAAACATACATACATACTTACAAATATGCTATACACATCAATGAATGTACAAGTTAATGAAATAATATATGACATACATACAAGCTTATAAATAGTATAAATTAAGTCACATTTTTAACGAAAATCTTAACAAAATATAACGTACAAAAACATATTTGGTAATGCAAAATTACACATAGTACAGACATACATGTATAGATAAAAGAAAACAAAAAAATGATGAAGAATATAACTTAATGATAGACTTAAATGAAACTCTAAACGAATTTATTTTTCAAACAAATGGTACTAAAAGTGTTATGAACAATATGCAAAAAGCAAAAACAAAAATATTTAAATAAGAAAAATAAAGCCAATAACAAAAAACAAACACGAATTTGATCATATGTATATTTTGTCATATTTAAAAGCAAAAAAAAAAACGTTAACAATTTTTTTTCTAAATGCATTGCGCAAACATGTGTGCGTGTTACTCGTATTCATATGTACAATCTCTGGCAAAATTATTAGAAATAGTACTCAGAGGTTTACAGCCTAACCTAATATAAACGCACTCCGTCTAATTTGTTTTTCTGCGTCACCCGAAATTAGCTTGCGTGCGTTTGCATTTGATTTCACTGAGCGAAAGGTCAAATCAAAATCTCAGGCAGAGCAAAAATTGGAATTTGAGTTAGCTTCTTACGCACGCCGTTCCATTTTGGTTGGTCCCATAGGAGTTGTATGTGCGTGAGAAATTTTTAACAGTAAAGTTTATCCGATTTTTTGAAACTTAATTGTTTTTTTTATAAAAATATTTGTGCAAATTCAAAAAATTTCATTAAAGGTGCGAACTTTTTAATCAGAATTATTGGGTATTGAGTTTATAGCCCAATTAATTTCAGTATAATAAAGCGCAAGCTTGAAGTCGCTCAAAATTCGCGTTGATTTTTTGTACTTTTTTGCTAACGGTTTTATGCAATTCCTTCCATATAAAAACTTGTCGAACATACATTCTTTGTATGGAAGAAAATGCGAAACACCTTCATAAAAAAATCACAAAAATAAACGCGAATTATGAGCCACTTCAAGCTTGCACTTTATCATACTAGAATTGAATGGGCTATCAAACTGCATACTCATTTTGATTAAAAAGTTTAACGACGATTGTTATATGTTTATGTAATTATTGTTATGTATATGTAGGGTTGCCAGATTTTTTATGCGGGAAATCAGTACGTTAGACTTTTTCATGCTAAAAAATCAGTACTTTTCAGTACACTTTTATTCAAAGCGAAATTATGAATGTAAGTAACAGATAATACTTTAAAACGCCAGTGTACTTATTTTTAACAATATTTTGGTATATAATTGAAATATAGTTCATAAAAAATAAAAATGTTATTCATTTTAACATGAGTGTACACATAATTGTACACAGGAGCCAATGAATTATTTTATATTTATGACATTTTTGAATAGCAATAATGAGATAATTTCCATCTTCAGTGCTTAAATAGTCGAAATGTATAGAATATTTCCTTTTCTTTTAATTTGAAATTCAATTTCAAAAATTTTAATTAGAAGCCAGTTTCTCTCTTTGCGCAAGGTAGCAAACCTTATACTAAGATCCTCTCAGTTGCTTCGTTTTACATATTTTTTCAAACTGTGGAAAAGTATTACTTTTTAAGAACTTCCTCTATATATCCTCATGGAAAGACTAAAGGCCTGATTATGGCAACTTAACTTAACGGAACGTAGAACTTAGAGAATCAAAATGAAACAGATTTCCACGTGGCATTAAGTTACGTTAAGTTTCGGCTGTTCAATTATAAGCAACACCCATTTAACAGAATTTTTAAGAGAGAGCTGCAAGTAACGTTAAGTTGCTATAATCAGACCATAAGAATTTGCTAATAAGAGTTATATATATAGAGTTAGATACCTACTCTATGTCTTGTATGCAAAACTCTTTTACAATGTCAGTAAATTGAGAAAAAAGAATTGTAAAGCTGAATTGACATGAGGCGATTTTTTAGGCGATTCAATATTGCTGAAGAAAAATCGCTCGGGATTAAAAAATCGCTTGCCTCAAAGTAGACAGAAAGTCAACTTTTGCAGGCGCTTATCGCCTCCCAAAAAATCACCTCATCTAAAGGCAGCTTAAGTTATTAAACTGAAAGATATTTTCGAGATAACTAACAACACTCGACAAAAAAACGTCAGCCTTATTTTTAAATAATTTAAGCTCATCATATTATCGCAACTGGTACGTAACGACCCAGCGATTGTATTAATTTCTTGGGCATATCAAACATTATTTGAAATATTTCAACTATAATTAAATTATTTGCTTCCCACTTTTTACAGTGCAGTTTAAGCAAGTTCCAACGTTATGTAAAAACCTTAAGAAAATCATAAAGTATTTTGTTTAAATTGAAAATTCAGTACAAATCAGTACAAATTATGAAAAATCAGGACATTAGCGTACTGATTGAAGAAATTAACTGTAATTACTGTACTGATAAAATCAGTACGTCTGGCAACCGTATGTATATACAAATGTATGTAACTATGTATTATTATGTTTTTGTTAATCATGGTTTTCATTGGTCATGTTTATTGTTTATCGTTCAAATAAAGCAGACACTTTGAAGATGATACGCAAGTGTCGAAAGACGTAGGAAAGCCTTTTTTATTCCACGGCCGAAGCAGCTCCGACCCAGCAAACACAATATTTAAGAATTAGGCCCATACAAAACTAAATAACATTTTTTTTTTAATTTGTTGGATTTTCGCGAACTTTTCACAAAATTTAAAGATTTGATTTATATGGTTTATGTTATTAAAGCAACTATATTTTTATAAAAAAATAATCAAAATTCATAAAATCGGATAAACTTGAAAATATAAACATCTGAGTACTGTTCTCATTCTTTGGCCAGAGAATGTAAATACATGCTATTATGCAAACAAACATATACACACATTCATAAACGGGAAAGTATTAAAGGAAGTGACGGCAAAAGACAAAATGCCAAAATTGCAAAAGGCAAATACACATATATATGTAAACCTAAGGATATTTCTACAATTTTTGTTTAAAGGGCAGATACATTACCTATTTGAGAAAACGGCCCTAATTGAACCGAGTAAACCCGAACCTCTAAAGCGTTCGTAGTATTGCATATACTAAAATGGCACTTTTTATTGCGATAGTTTTTTATGGCCTACCCTTTTATTTGTTGTCAGTCCATGAAAATATAAGCCCTGCTGATTTTATACTCTACAGGTTAAGAAAAAGACCTCGGACATAGAAGTCGAAAAATCCATAAAATTGTTTGGAATAAGTATTTACTGAACTCACATTCTATGTAGCTTCTTATATATGTATTTATATATGTAAGTATTATTAACATATTTAATTTTTCTTTCTTTATAGGGTGTAATTTTAACCCACATTCACCATAACCATTTTTTTCGGATTTGTATAAAGCTTTTTGATTCACGGAGTCAATGGTTATCAACTTAACTTAAATTTCCCCAAAGCAGTAGAAAGACACAACCTTCGGCTTGAAAGTGGCTTAAGTCACTCATACCTCTTGTGCTTAAATGACCGGTTACTTGTAACCGGATGCATCTGTAAATCTTTCTATCGTCATAAACTAATGACACAACCTTTACCTTATGTTGATGAAGTTGGACGAATAACCGACGCGTCCAGATACAAGTAACCGGCCATTTAAGTACAAGAGGTAAGAAGTGACTTATGCCACTTTCAAAATAAACGACTCACATGTCTGGTGAAACTTATAAGATCGAATAAATTTTTTTAATTTTAGGAACCGAAAAGCAATATTTAATCGCAGTCGAACTTGTTTTTAGAAAACAACTTTTTTATGAGAATGAAAAAAAGGCAATCAGAGCTGCATTTTATTTAGTTCGGACC